TGTACGATTAGGCTTACGTATAATTGCAAAAATATCAAAAATATTACAATTGTCTCAAAAAAGGTGTCCAAATGACTTTGTTCGAAAACCACGAGGTCTTAAACATGCTCTACAATGGAAAGCAACTGAATATAGACAATTTTTATTATATACTGGACCAATAGTATTAAAAGATTATTTACCAAAAAATATGTACGTTCACTTTCTTACGTTACATGTTGCTATTACAATTCTTGTTAATCCTAGTTTGGTTACAGAATATTTGGATTATGCACAGAACTTATTAGAACATTTTGTTATATCGTTTTCTATTATTTATGGTAAAGAATATGTTACTTATAATATACATAATATCTTGCACATATGTACAGACGTTGAGAAGTTTGGTTCTTTAGATATGTTTAGTGCATTTCGCTTCGAAAATTATATGTCAACTATAAAGAGGCATTTAAGAAAAAATGAGAAGCCTCTTGAGCAGTTAGCACGAAGACATGAAGAAATAATACGTGCAGATTATAAAAGAACACTTAAATGGCCTTTGCAAAAAGATAAATTTTCACTTAAGGATGTACATTTTGATGGACCACTTTGTGAAGAAATTGAAGTAAAAATACAATATAAACGATGTTTTAACAATTTGTATGCGATAAATTGTAAAGATAAAAGAAACAATACCTGCATTTTAAAGGATGGTACAGCAATAGTAATTTATAATATTATAGAAAGCTGTGATAATAGAATTTACATAATTGGAACCAAGTTAATACCGATAGGAAACGTGTATTCGTCTCCATTATTATCGAGTACGCTTCATATCACAATCGTGATGAAAGATGAAACATTATGTGTATATCCTATATCAGAAATAGCAGGGAAATTATGGCTAATGCGCTACAAGAATAAATTAATTATTTTTCCGCTATTACATACTGCCTGACATAATAAAAATATAATCTTAACACGTATGTACTTGCTTGTTCGTTTGCATGCAAGGTATTTTCAAGAATGTAAATATAATTGGTATTTATATCATTTTTACATAGTGTGAAGATATTTATTATATAATTAAAAAATGTAAAGTTAAAATTGTTCCAGTGAGATATTTGAAATTAAGTATGTTACATTTACGTTATTAAATCTAAATACTTATATTAATTTTAAATGTTGCATGTATTTCTACCTTTTTGTTTTTCTTTGTTGGTTCTTTCCTTTTATTTATATTAACTTGTTATATACTCAGGTAAATATATTATTGATATTAAAAGTAATAATGTAGAGTTGAGAGAGAGTGCATGAGCAATGTGCATGCTGAGAGCATGAAAAAAAGCTCTGTGTGTAAATATTCTTTTACTGTATATTCTTTTATTAAATATAATCGCTGATTAACACCTATAATTTATCTCGTAACTTTATCCAACAATAATATTAATTGTTTGTGCAGATTTCATGGCCACTAAGTATAGACAAGCATTACGAAGTTCTTGGACAAATAATTGTTTTGAACAACTAAATTGCAATTGCAGAAGCAATAACTGTCAGCTGAACCAATCACGTCAATTAAAAGTAAAAGTACTCAAATTCGCAATTCAAATCTGAAGATCTTTACTATTGATAATTTTTTTAAATGAAATGGATAATTGTTTAAATAAATAATTTAATTATTTATCGAATAACTTATATAAATACTTATATAAATTATATATATTATATAATTACTTATATAAATGATATATATTATATAATTATAAATTATTTGGTAAATAAATATATACATATTTCTATATTTCTTATTTTCCTTTAGCATCTATAATATACATATAAATACCTCGAATTCTTATATACTATATTACTTGCAATAATATATTTAATTATATTTATGATTTTTATTAAATAGTGCCTTTTTTCATTCATACATTGGAACATGGGAAGATTTTCGATAGTGGAGTTCGAAGATGGAATCCAACTTATTCCCACGTCTTGGATATTTAGCGATAATAAAAAATGTTATTGGCCATATTACAAAAAACAAGAAAAAATAAATCAAGCTATTTTTAATGAAGAATATCCGGACAATGACAAATGGTCATCATATGATATATTACGAATTTTTGGTACAGCAGGTATTATATTTCTTTCAATTTACAGTTTAAATTTTTAGTAAATGTCCTTTTTATGTTTTTGTGTATAATGATGTATGTATTTGTGTATAATGATTTATGTTATTTTTACAATATTTTTATCTTTATATTTACCCTTCCTCCATGACACTGGTGGAAAAATGTCACCAAAATTGATGTTTCAAGAAAACGAATTTGTACTGGTCTTTATACATATCTGTATTGTAACGATGCGTTAAATGTATGTTATATAGACTTTATAATTTTCTAATTCGCAAATTTTTATTTCTTTGGTCGATGTTTCACTTAAATTTTGACTTTGTGAGCTAATCCGAACGTCTGAAAAGACAGAGAAATTTTCCACCAGAGAAATTAATTTTTTTCTATCCTATTTCTCACAAAACATCTTTCTCAGTTCGATATTAACAATATATATTTTATTAAATACTATATTATTTCAGATACATATACAAACGGCATGCGAAAACTGAAATTGGCTGAACAAATTTCTGATATTGAGTCTGGGAAAGATGATATTGACAAAAAAATGTGTAGACGTAATCGGGCAAAAAGAAGATTCACTTCTAGTTCTGAGGAGGAAGATTTTGAAAATGAAGCTACTGAAAAGGAAGATTCTGAAGAGAAATCACGTACAACTCAAGAAATCTGTAAAAAAAAACCCAGTAAAATTCCGCCTTTGCCCACATTATCAATTGTAAAACAGACACAGACGCTACCAGAAAAGAAAAAAAAGATATTTCACAATCAAACAAGCAATACTGATAATAATTCATCATTATATAATTTTAATAAATATAGTACGAAGGAATCTTCCAGTAGCGTGCAATCTGATATTTCATGTACGGGAAAACAATCTACATCATCATGTAAAACAGGTAAATATTTAGTCATAGTTAAGTATAGTTAAAACAAAATAAACATTTTTTACAAAATTTTAGGCGAACAAATTATTGAATGAAAAGAGTGAATCTGCAAAATAATTATTTTTTATTATTCATTATAATCATTAAGTTATTTCCATTTGTGTACTTTTTGAATGTTTGGATAAAGCACAGAATAGAGAATTGTTTATTCATATCATTTTAAATACTTTTGCAAATAATATATTTCTCAAGAAATTTTAATATTTTAATATTATGTAAAATATGCATTACAATGCTCAAAATCGGCATGTATTTTAATATTATGTAAAATATGCATTACAATGCTCAAAATAAAATATATATATTATCGCGCCGATTGGTCGTTCCTATGTGTTCATATAAAGGATTTAAAATTTATTATGCAGATTTTCAAACAGAAATACTTCGCAAACTGAACATTATTATTCATCAAGTAAAAATGGTGGACAAGAGACTGGAGATTCACGAAGAGCAATGTCGTTTCAGCCTTGACAGACATGAAGATGATATTCTTCAAGATGAAGAAATAGGATTACCTTTGCATAATGAATTGGCATTGGATATTTTAGAAACAAAATTGAAGAACAAAGAATTTTTTGAAAGCATGGTATGTTATTTCTTACCTTTAAATATTGTTTTTAAATATTTAAATTTGTATTTTTAAATATTTAAATATTTAAATATTGTTATTATATTTGCTCGCGATGCAAAGAACATTTTGAATATTTAGAAAGTTATATATTTTAAATAGAATATCTTTATATATATATACAAATTTAATATTTTATATTATAAAGTGTACATGTTATTTATAAAATCATAAAATAAGTGCATTTAGCAGAACGTTTTTACAACTGGTGGAAATTTTCTGAATTGAGATTGGATTATTTTTTTAGACCTAGATAAATCTAATCTCAACACAGAAAACTTTCAACAGTTGTAAAAAAATGTTCTGCTAAATCACTGTTAAATTAATATTTATCAATATGTATTTTTTAAATTATTTATTTTATATCATAGGTATATACATTAAAAGGCTTGGGAGGTTTCGATGTGCATTCTTGCACGATTAATTTATTGAAAAAGTTGATAACTAATCCCTTGGCTGAAATGTACAGCATGGCTGGAGCAAAAAGGAAAAAGGCTTTTCAAGATTTGATTTTGTATAAAATCATACTTAGTAAGTGTTATATTATTACAGATTTTTAAGACTTAACTTCTCCTTGATTATGTGTCAGCATGTCATATTGGTATTAATATGTTACTAATTTTATGGAACTACAATAGAAACTGTCCGCGTTCATTATAAAGATACGACTGAGACGGAGATTGCCCAAATCATCGCAAAATGGCTAGTACAAGCCAAAGCTCGTCGCGAGAGAAAGTATGTACATAATTTTTTTTATATATAAATAAAATGTGTACATAATGTATAATTATACAATTCATTAATGTAATGTGTTTTTAGAAAATGTCGATATATTGAAGAAAACATAGATAAAGCGACCTCGTCATCATCACATAACTCATAATAATCTTTTATAATTATCAACTATCATATATGTATGTAACTTTTTATTATAATAATTAATTAATAATGGAGAGTAATATATATATATATATATATATATATATATAATATTTTTTAAATAAAACATCTTTATACAAATTTAACATTTTATTATGAAGTTATTTATTATGAAATCGCATAATATATATGTATAGATGTGTTTAGTAGAACATTTTATTTACAACTATTAAAAGTTTTCTTAAATTGAGATTGGATTAATTTTTTAGACTTAAAAAAATCTAATCTCAACACAGAAAACTTTTAACAGTTGTAAAAAAATGTTTTACAACTACTAAGCAACCATTAAGTCAATATTTATCAATATTAAATCAATATTAAACCAATATTAAATCAACATTAAATCAATATTAAATAAATGTTTTTTGAATATTGAATTGCTACATTTACAAGACATTGCAATTCAGCGGACATTAGACGTTTCTGTAATTTATTTTCAACGTTGAATCTATATTTTATAACGTTGATGCAACATTGCAAAATTGTATTGCAATGTTTCTGAGATGTTTATTCAATGTTTATGTGCTGTATGGGGTCCATGGGTGTTCCATCGTTTTTCCCATACGCGTACGCGACTCTATAAGACCTGTAAAAATAAAATTATAAATAAAAAATATACCACATAAAATAACGACAAAATTTAATAATCGATAAAGTCATTAAAATCTTATATTTTTAGCGCTAACCATTCACAATGATTAAAATCAAGCGACTAAAATATATAAAATAATAATAATAATAAATTTACATAAGTTTTAATAGAACCTACCTTTAAAAATAATAACATTTTTATATACCCTCAACCATCGACACCACAGTGCTAACCATCCAGAATTGTTTAATCCCTCTGCCGAGACCCTATTTGGCACCTGAAAATAAATAAAAATGAATATACGATCTTAGATCATAATTTAATAAAAATATTAATAATTAAAAATTTTAAGAATAAAATTTTGATAATAAAATTCTAGCATCAGACTCTACAAATAACTCAATAAGAATAATCAGAATATGTATATATATATATATATATATATATATATATTCATATATATGTATATATATATGTATATATATATATATATATACATATATATATATATATATATATATATTCATATATATGTATATATATATATGTATATATATATATATATATATACATATAGAAATAAATGAATAATAAATAAAATATTCACTCGTAATAAGTCAATAAAGAAATTCAACCCAACACTAAAAGCCGGTGACAAAAATAATAATTTAAATTGATATTACCTAAAAATCGAATAAGAATACCTTATATGACGAAGTCATGTGACCCCCTCTTGGATACCTGAAAATTTAATGTAAATAATATATGGTCATAAGAATAATAATTTATAGCAGAGAGCCGTTAATATTTCATAAAATTGCAAAATAATAAGTATAATGTAATAGACGATATATATATACTTAAGGTATATATACACATGAGCCCAGTGAAAAGAAAGAAAAATAATTAATTAACATAAATGGATCAAGATAACTAAAAATTTAGATTAAAATAACTTAAAAATTAGAATAAAATCAATGGATGCCATCAAAAACCCCCCCACGAACATTTACGATCATGCTCTCTTATACATGAATACATATACTAAGCCTTTATAAAATATTAACATTTCATATTATAAAACTTCACGTATAATAATTCTCCTTTTTCAAACACTCTAATGACGAAAATTCATAATACCAAACCCTACAAATATATTTAAGTCAAAACATTACTTACCAGCAAGTTTTCATATGACGAAATTATATGGACGCCCTATATTCGTGTTCCTATTCAACAGGTGTTCCCGGGCCATAGCATCATCTGAATTAATAAAATAATGGTATTAGGAACAAACATTCATAACTACCACAATCATAAAATGCACATGAACAATTATAAAATACATGTAAATTTGCATATGAGCACTCTTCATCAAGAAAAACGAAATACGAAAACACGAGAGAAACAGTGAATTAGTACGTATACTTACAAATAATATTGCACGTAGAATATTATGCGTGTGCACTCGAAGAGTCGAACAAGCGTGCAAGGCCAAGTCCAGCACGTCGCGTTATCTCCACTGGAATTTTCAACATCCTCGCCTGATCTAAAGGCAGAAGGAAGTTCTAAATTCATGCTCGCATGAGTGCGTACTAAATTAATACATCGACTTTTCTTTTATAATTAAGCATTAATGAAATATTCTCCACTAATATTATACTATTAGTAGACATAATTATACATATATACTACATAATTATACTATTAGTAGACATCATATATATATATATATATATATATATATATATATGCATATACATGACTATATGAACAAAATGCATGTATACATATGCATATATATTTTATAATAAAATTCAATAAAATCAAAGTAGAAATACAATAAATAACCGCCGCGATGAAAATTGACATATGTTAATACGCAAAAATAATCATTTATATATATATATATATATATATATATATATATATGCATACTACATATGACTGTATGAACTGAATATGTACATACATATGCATATATATTTTATAATAAAATTCAATAAAATCAAAGTAGAAATGTAATAAATAACCGCTACGATGAAAATTAACATATGTTGACACGCAAAAATACACACACATATATATATATATATATATATATATATATATGCATACAATATGTGACATGTGAACTAAATATGTATACACATATGCATATATATATTATAATAAAATTCAATAAAATCAAAGTAGAAATACAATAAATAACCGCCGCGATGAAAGTTGACATATGTTAACACGCAAAAATAATCATCTATATATATATATGCATACTATATGCGACTATATGAACTGAATATGTATATACATATGCCTATATATTTTATAGTAAAATTCGACAAAATAAACGTATAAATGCAATAAACAATTGCCGTGACGAAAATTAACATATGTTAGCACACGAAAATACATATATATATATATATATATATATATATATATATATATATATATTATGAATTTTAACAAATAATTAATAATATTAATAACCCCATTTTATATAATCAATAATTATTGACTTTATCCGATAATTATTAAATATAACTCACAAGGGAACACCGCGAACCCGAACTCTTCGATTTGAATCAAACTTTGAGAATATGTAGAGGTACTTAATACATGAATAACGATATAAAAAGTTCGTGCCCGTTTTCACTTTAAAGGTATAATTTTCGACCTCAAGGGTAAAAGGGCGCTTACACTTTTTTGTGTATACCTCTTAAAATACAAGAGATACAAAAAAATGTTTGAAATAAAAGTTTAACGGCAAGTTAATTGTTACAAAGTGGCATAAACAGAAATAAAAAAAAAGTTTTGTTTATTGAAAAAAAAAATTTTTTGTTGTTGTTTAAAAATATTTCTTGTATTTTTGTAATAATGGAAGAAAGAGAGTATTTTTCTGAATTCAACCATATATATGTTTTTTATAATACACTTTCATAATGCATTTTCGACATGTAAATGCATTATGAAACAGTGTATCATCAAGAATCATCTAGAAGGAAGTCCAAAGTGATAATAAATATAGTGTACGTTGATAACTGATTTGGTAACTGCAGTATTGCTTACGAAGTTGTTTTTAATCTTTAATATTTTTATTAAGATTAATATTTTTATTAATTTTATTTTATATTTTCTTCTATATTTTCCTCTAAAATTTCTTTATAAATACTGTCTGGCCTTAATTTTAATATTAATCAGTGAAGAGCTATTGGAAGTATTGTCAATTTAATAATTCTACAAACCGTTAGTTTCGTAAGTTTCGTCTCTTTTATATTACGTATATAAATTTTCTTATTTTCATATAATTTTTTTCATCCCATCATTTCATTCTTTTTGGAATAAGAAACTGTTATACTTTATCGGAATTTTTAAATAACTTTATTTATATGTCAGGTTCTGTTTTACGAGATCTTTAGAGGATCTTTACGAGACTACTTTGAGATTCTTCCTTCCTTCTAAATCTGTCGGAAGCGCCCGAATTCAAAGATCCAGTAGCGTGAAATTTCTAAGGGATGACAGATTTTAAAACTCGGCGGTAGAGAGTGATTCTCAATAAAATCTCGTAGAACTTTCCAATTAACTCTACGTATATTGTATAAAATATAAGTGTATCGGTAGATACAATCAAGTCAGAGAATAATGCAGTGAACAATCAGCGAAAATCAGAGTTCGTCTTAACTATAGGCCGGAGAAAAATCTACTGGTCCTCCGTGACCATGGCCGGTAGGCGCTTGTCCTCCTTGGTACGAGTTAGTGGGGACTTAGATAAGGCGAATTTCATCATCTCCTTTGTCCATTCGAATATCGATCTGTCATTCTTGGTATGCAGATGTTATGTTTAGCTGATTAGCGAGAGCGAGTCGCCGAGTGAAAATTACATAGATGAACCTTACAATTTATTACAGATTTACTTTCTTCTTCCAACGCTGGCTATGTACAATTTTGAATGTTTTTGTTCTTATTACCTAGACCTGATATTACTTAAGTGGAATAATTAACCAAAAAATTTACAAATGATGTCATAATGAGAAATGGATTACTAGTAATGGTCGTTATCTGTGATTATGATTTACATTCCATGATAGATAAACGCCAACTGAATCCCGAAGGCGTTTTAAAATCGCTCCTTTGTACAATGCATTATTCGTAGACGAATTTATAATTCTTTTATATCTTCATAATTTTAATACTATAACTCTAATGAATTTGGTTAAAATAGTTATTAAAAGTAACTAAGTAATTAGAATATGAGTAAGATTAATTAAAGATAAATGCAATTATAACGTTAATACTAATAAAAATAATATCTCCTTCAATCTTGCTCTTTCGTAATTAGATAGAATTGAACAAATTCCAACAGGGTAAAGAAGGAATCTGTTTGTATGGTAAAAAGAGAAAATTTATTGGTCGGGACGTCACAAAAGTATACTATCCGTACCGATCAATTCATTCCAATTACAGTCGGTAATTTCTCGCATGATAAAAAAATTATACATCTCTCATCGTCACGAGAACACAGCGCCTTTTTCGTCAAACGTGCGAACCGTACAAGAAAAATATGTGAAAAATGCAGCCACGACGGTGACGGTGACGTTTCTTAATCAAAAAGTTTCACATTGAGACTTTGCATCGTTATATTTCTGCTTATAGAGCACATAGAGCAAAAATAAAGACACTTTCCTTATATAAATCGAACCCAAGCAATTGATTAAATGTAATAAAAATTTAATCGATTCAGCGGTTATTGAGAACCGATAATATGCATTACTCGCAACTTAGCCTTTCGCGTAAAGATACACGGTGTGTCTTGCGCCTGAGTGATGATGACTCGACTTCTAGACACTACCGTGTCTCTTGATTATTATACATTTTCTGTCACTTTATGCATCATGTGTGAATCGGAAAGTACCTATAGATGTCAATTATTTGAATCGACCATGCATATCGAATGTAATACTTATCCAAATAATTGCTACCTATGTATCGATTAATTTATTGCAATTGCAATCATCCAGGTAGCAAGCACACGTCATTTTGATGTTTCAAATTAGTCATTCACTGATTATTCTTGACGTCACGAATTGATGTTTTTAAGACGTAAAAGTGACGATCTAATGTCACAGATTCCTGACATCATGACATGTACCGCATTTGACGTCTTTCTCTTAGCATAATAATATATTTAATAATGTTGTCGAATAAAGCACTCTCTAAAAGTGAATCAGTGTATTATCACTGAAAAACAGTAAATAATCACTGATTACAGTAATTATTATATAAGTATAGCGCTGTAAATCAGTAATATTTTATAGAAAGAATCAGTTAATAATTTTGACTATTTCAGTAATATCTCAGTAATATTCCTTTCATTATTGCCAGTAATATTAAACTTTTCAATTCTCTCTATTTCATAAATATAATATAATATACATATATAAAAATATAATATACAGGGTGGCCTATTTTAATTTTCCCAGCCAAATATTTCGGAAAATAATGAAAAATCAAAAAAATGTTTCAGACAAAAGTTGTATGGTTTCTAGGGGGACATAAGATGGTACCATTGGTTTGACTTTGAAGAGTTATTTGAAGGTCACATGAAGGTCACCTTCAATTTCTTAAATTGAACCCACTATTTTTCATTACATATTCTTGTAGCTTATCTCGAGAGCTAAAGAGAGCTCTCGAGAACAAAAATTTATTTTAATAAAAAATATGGAATTGTTAATTGCAAATTACATATTTTTTCTTAAAAACAACTATATGTTTTCTTTACGCCAATTGATTCCTCTCATTATTTTGTACATAAAAGTATTAAGGTAAAATAATCGAAAAGTGAATATTTTACAAGATATCCCAGCAAACACAGAATATAACTATTATATAATCTAGAAGTAACACGCAATATAACATGAGTTATACACTATTAATATTAATATTACATTATTTTCTTTTGTTACTGCAATATAATTGCGTTTTAAAACGATTATATTTCTTTGTTATTTATTGATTATAACAGTATAACAGCAATATAACTAAAATATTACATGTTATATAACAAATGCTACATTAGCATAACTTTAATATTATATAACATAATATTAGAAATGTGTAATATTACAAATAATATGTACGTGTTCGTGCGCGCGCGTGTGTGTGTGCCCTAACAGTTTTGTATAATCTCAAAATAATATACTTTTAATATTTATTACAGTAAGTATATATATTATTTCTCGCATATTCTTGTATATTTTGGAATATACTTTTAATATCTTTTTATAGTTTTTTATAGTTTATTTTTCGTTTATTCTCGTATATTCTCAGAATAATATTATTCTGAGTATATATATATATATATATATATATATATATAAATATAATATAAGTGTGTATATATATATATACTCTTTTTGATTTACGCGCGAAGATAGCAACGCCACTTACGTAATATCCAATATTACCGGTTCCGATTCCGCTTCCCGCTCTTTCTTCTTTTGTCGATTTTCTGTTACTTTGTGGTCCTTGATATTTTTCTCAACGAAAATTTAATTGAAGGTATTTATCTTTTTCTGTTCTTAATAAATATTTTATCACAAATAAAGTTTAAGAGTATTTTATTTTATATTATATTTTTAATATTATTTTTTACATTTTTATTAATTTTTCACAATAAAACATTTCACAAATTTGAGGTTATGATGTTATGAGAAAGTACAAGAAACATAAAAATATAATTAATTATTAATCCAGCATTTTAAAGCATGCGCGCATAAATTTATTATCTATTTAACAAATAAAAGTTAAACAGAATTTTTTTATTTCTATGCTAACGTAAATTTACCTCAAAGTTGTGAATTGCATATTTTTGCTGTACTTTATCGTGAGCTTTATATTTGATATATATAAAGTATTGCCATTATTCTTATTTGTAATTTCTATGTTGCAACATAGCCTCTAAGGAAGATTTTTACATCAATTATTACTACTTTCAGTACAAGGAAAGAGCTGGAGCAAAAGACTTATCTGCGTATTTATCTATGCATCTAGAAGGACGATTAGTATTACAAGAAAAGATCTGCAGCTAAAGATTTGTCTACGCGTCATCTCTGCACCTAGATAAACATAAAGCATATATAGGTAAGTATGATCTCTTAAATATTGCATGTATATTTATAGATACACGTATATATTATATATATACAGAGTGTTTCACTAAATGTGGGCAATGTCTCTTGTACTCTATCTGTATCTAAGGATGATCCTACTTGTGGCTCCGACTGCTTTTTTTCTTTCTTTTATATATAATAATATAATCTGTTAATCATTCTGGCACTTCAAATCAGATGTATCTAATCTAAAATCAGAAATTTTTTTAATTCATACGATTGAAAATCAACTTCAGTGTGGTTTTTGACTGTCTATAATACTCACTCTACTCACTTGGATAAGTCACAAGTAGAATCATCCTTAGATAGAACATTGGATATGTAGCGAATAGGTAAAATTATCTTATAAATTTATAAATTTGTTTATAATGCATCTTTATCAAGATACTTGTTATTGAAATTAAAATTTGAAAAGTATTTTTCTAAAATAACTTTTATATTACTCTGTAGATTTTAATAATTTATAATAATTATTTTTATATTAAAAGTAAAAATCTCTAAAACAGAGAGTATTAAATTACTTGATATCTTTTGTTTTATTTCGTAAAAGTTAACTATTTTCAAGAAAACACATTTAAACGATACAAAGTACATTCAGATAATAGAACAATAATTTTGAATAAAATAATACGAAATTGTATTGATTGTGTTAAAATTTATTAAAATGAAATAGATTTAGCCGAAATTAAAACAACTTTTAACCTTTAATAATTTGATTTTAATATTTATTTATTTAGGTATAATTAGGTAATATTTGTGTAAGCATAACAATTCTACGTTTATCATGCCTAAAGATGTAAGGTATTTATCACAAAGACGAAGGAATCAAATTATTTATCACACTTCACATAATAGTAATATTTCATTAGAAACCGTTTTACCGAATGTATTATCTAATAATGTAGTAGAAGAAACGGCAAAAAGCGTAAATTCTGATAAAGTTTTTTGTAACAATAATATATCATTTGAAGATAGAATATACCAATCAGATGAATCATCAGAATCATCAGTAGAGTTAGAGTCACGATTTGAAAACAATGAAAAATATACTGATCTACAAGATAATATTGCATTGACAGACAACGAGCAAAGCTTACGGGAAGATTTACAAAGATTAATTATAAATCATAATATACCTCATAGTACTGCTAATGAATTACTTAAAATATTAAGAAAACATGGTCATGTAGAATTGCCTGGTGATGTTAGAGTTTTAGTTCATACACCACGTAACGCGTCAATAAATATTAAATGTATGGGTAATGGTCGGTATGTACATTTCGGTGTTGCTTCTGGTCTGAAACGATCCATAGAAATTTATTCCAAATTTATTAAGACAGATGAAATTAAAATAAACATAAATATAGATGGTTTACCAATTTCAAAAAGTTCTGGTAGTCAATTGTGGCCTATAATGGCATCGATTGAAAATATTAGTATTCATACATCGCCATTTATAATTGGTATGTATCACGGTATGTGTAAACCGAACGATGCAAATGATTTTCTCACCGATTTTATTAACGAATTTTTGTTTCTCTCCGAAAATGGCATAATTGTTTGTAACAATAAATATAAAGTTAGTATTAAGGCAATACTGTGTGATACTCCAGCCAAATCATTCATCACTTATACGAAAGGTCATACAGGATATTTTTCATGTACTAAATGTATACAAGAAGGTGATTTCGTAATGAATAGAGTAACTTTTCCTGAAACTAATAATATTTTACGTACAGATGACTCATTCAAAAATCGAACTCAAATTGAACATCACACAGGCGATTCTATATTAGAAAAGCTTTCCATCGGGATGATTTCACAAATTCCGCTCGATTATATGCATCTTATTTGCTTAGGTGTTACAAAACGGTTGTTGACATTATGGGTAAAAGGAAATAAAAATAACAGATTACGTGAAGAAAATATTAATTCAATTTCGCAACATTTAATGAATATTAAACATTGCATTCCTTCTGAATTCGCAAGAAAACCTAGATCTTTAGTTGATATTGATAAATGGAAAGCTACGGAATTACGTCAATTTTTGTTATATACTGGAATAGTAATTTTAAAGTCAACCATTCCTCCGATTTGGTATAATCACTTTCTTTCCCTTAGTGTTGCGATAAGAATATTGGCTGATCCAGAAATATGTACGATATTTGTAACTTATGCACATTCGTTATTATTATGGTTTGTTTCTAATTACGGGACTATTTATGGTGAAGAATATCTGTCACATAATGTTCATAATCTTATTCATATTGCTAATGATATAAAAACCTTTGGTTGTCTTGACAATTTTAGTTGCTTTAAATACGAAAATAATATGCAGAAAATAAAAAAGAAATTGCATGAATGTGGAAAGCCTTTAGAAGAATTATCAAATCGCCTATTTGAAGAATTACAGCAACCAATTATACCGTGCTCTGTCGTACATTATCCGATTGTTGTTTATACAAGTAAAAATAAAATTTCGTGTTTTCAATATGAAAATTTCAAAATTGCAATAACTGAAAATGATAAATGTGCTTTGCTTAATGATAATTCTGTAGTTTTTATTTTGGATGTAGTTAAAGAGGACAGTATATTATTCTTTCGTGCAAAACGTTTTTTAAATCCAAAATCTCTTTTCACTATACCATGTGCTTCAGAAAAACTAGGTATATATGTCATTTTAGACACAACTGCTTCAGAAATCATAACAATTCCATTAACTAAAATTAAAAAAAAATGTTTAATATTGAAAAATATAGATCAGGACGATTCTTATATTATAATTCCGCTTCTTCATACTAACAATTAGATGCGCGCTGTACATTTTTATAAATTTGTATTTTTTGTATGTTTTGTATTTTTATGTGTTTTACTTGTCAATAATCCTAAAAATAGATTGTAAATAAAATGTAAGTTATTGTAACATATTCCTTTGTCTTGAACTATAGTAACATTTCAAGAGCCTTCCCTGTAGTTACATTCAATGTAACTGCAAGGCTCCTGCAATGTTACTGTAATCATCTGTGCTGTATGAGAAGTAATGTTAACTTGTATACTTGGAAATTTGCAAATTTTATTTTATATGGAAGGAATTATAAATAATTAATAAGGTGAGTTAAGTACTTTCAAGTATGCTGTATTAATATTTAATTTTTTAATTTTGCAATGCTTTATGTACTTAAATCTCATGAAAGTATAAGCAAAATCGCAAAATTACAATTTTGATTGATTGATAACTATTAATATAAGAGATTACCTTTAAACACAAATTTTCCACTTGTTTTACTTTATGTAAGATAATACATTAATTATACAAATTTAACATTAAAATAATATAATTTTCTTTATGTCAAATCAATCTGCTTTTGCCAATATAATATAGTTGACATCATTAAATTTACATATTTTAATTTGTTAAATAATTTTACATACTAAAATATACTGTTTCTTTTTACAGATTATATTAAAAAATGGAAAATCGTGGCAAAATAGTACAGACATATGCAGTTGTCAAATTTATTATAGACGATCTATATTCCGAGGTGCCAATATCGTGGCTTCAACGCAAGGACAATAAGCAGCTGTGTTATTGGCCGCCACGGACAATAAATGCTAAACCTTTGATAACCAACTATACAAATCCGAATGTAGAAAGTTGGAATCTATATGAAGTTGACGTCATAAAATACTGCAGTAAGTACTTATGCATTCATATCTTCAGTATATGCCTTGTTATTATATTACACTATCATTAGATCATATAAGTTAAGATTGAATATATTATTATTATTATTATTGTTTTTATTATTAATATTATTATTCTTAACGCATACGCGCGTGCGTAGATTAATGTATATATCAATTTTTTTGTTTTTGTAGCATCTTTAGAATCTGCAAGAAAAAGTGCAGCTGACTCCAATTATGAAACAACTGATGAAGATAGGCTGGGACGTGGTAAAAGACAACGCATTTCATATAATCGATTTAGCAGTGAAGAAGAGGAAAATGATGTACCGCAATCATGTAAAACTTATAAGAGTATGTATTACAAGAATGTTTTATTATATTTAATATACAGGGTATCTGACTGCTCCCGCAAGTCTACTCGTGTGCAGGTAGAATAATACAATTAAGTCAAACCAAACACAAAAGTCCTGTACCATTTTGCAAATAACCATATAAAAATTTGAGTTATTAATTAAAAAAGATGGTAAGTAATCGTGCGTGATAATTCATTAATCCATTTTATGTACTAACTCTAAATAACACGTAGTTATTTGTAAAATGGATTTAGAACAGAGAGGACTTTTGTGTTCAGTTTGACTTTATCTACTTGTACACGAGCGGACATACAGGAACAGTCAGATATCCTGTACATTATAATTATGCATTAGTCTTTTGATTTCTTTATTTTACTTAAAATAAAATATAATTTAAATATATTTTTGCATTCTTCATTTGGGAAGATCCCAGTTGCGCACAGAATGAAACGGACACAACCAATCATATCGACCGATGCTTAGAAGCTTAGCACGGTTGACCAATAGAAAGTCCGAGAGAGTTCTGTGTCCGATTTATTCTGTGCGCAACTAGGCCTCACTCCTTCATTTTATGAAAACTGTACATATTTGAGTAAATAGAGTTCAAATATTTGATATGTATTTATTATAATAGCTATACAAATCTTTTAAGGTATTTCTAAACATTAATAATTCCTACAAATTAACAGTTATCTCGTTTGTTCGAAAGCTTTTGTAAGATAGAGAAAAGTGAAATAAGATAAAAGTGAAATAAGAAAATGAATAACTTTTTTTATTTTTAAGTGTTACAGAAAAAATATTTAAAAAATATTTTTTACAGGGAAAGCAAACAGTATGAATAAAATTTCTGCTATTCCAGCCTGTCCGGACAATTTAAGATTAAACAATAATAATGAAAACAATGTAAATGATATGAATGACTTTCCACTTTCACAATCTTATGGTATGTATATTATGTATTTAGTACTATTATTATATATTTTTTCATTATTATAATGCTATATATATTTGCAGAAAAAAGGAAGAGTTCATGCACAAATCCCAGTTCAAATTCTGAACCCAGTGAGAAAATAAATATTTCTCAATTGCCCATAATATTAGAAGGTATACATATTATTAAAATGAATAAAAATTATAGTTATTGTAATAATTATAGTTATAGTATAATATATTAATGTCTCAATATTGTAGACGGTGCTCCATTATCTGCTCCATTTGAAGGAATGAGAGGATGTCTAGAGGACTCGAATATGAAAATAAGTATGTATTAATATATACATATGATGGCTGTTAAATAAATTGTTAATTAAGTAGCTACATGTATAAAAGAAATACAATTCTTTATTATATTCTTTCAATGTTATGATCAAATTTTTTCAAATTTGTGAGAGTCACTGCGTTCCATTAGCGCAGTGTTTTCTATCAATATCCAATGATTCCCATAAAAATTAAACAGGCACAAGACATAACAGAAGGAATGTAATAATAATTATTAGTAAAAGTAGAAAAGTAGTAAAAATAGAAAAGTATTTATTTTCTGCTATTACTTCACTAAAAGGCGTCCACGATGCCTAGAAATTAGTCCAAATTCTTGGATATATATATATGTGTGTGTGTATATGTGTGTGTGTGTGTGTGTGTGTGTGTATACACATATATAACATTACTCGCATTGCAGACAGAAACCTGAAAGAAATATTACGTTCCCAAGCCACATCGAATTTAATATTGCAAGATATAAAAGAACGAATGCATCGAATTGAAGATGTTATGAGAAATCAAGCTCCGGTTTTAACGAAGAGCAGCGAGGATAGTCTTATTGCTGAACTATTACCCTTACAAACGATAGAAGCCATACGTAATTTTGATTTGCTGTTGCACAACACCAACGAAGCAGTGACGCAATTTGTAAGTTTTAATAGCATTTTTATTTTAATATACACAACTGTTTTATGATCCAGAGACTGGATCGCGGTGCCGCTTTCCCCATTCCAAGCGCGTGCTAGCGGCCGAGCGCCGTGAAATGCAGTACCGTCTATCGGCGCGGCGTAGACGGCATTTCACGGCGCTCGGCCGCTAGCACGCGCTTGGAATGGGGAAAGCGGCACCGCGATCTTAGCCCATATAGATATGAACTGCACATATCCTCACTTTTCTGCGTTTTCAATGAAGCCACATTAAGAGAAAGAGAGAGATATTGTTTGACCTAACCATGCGTGTGACAAAGAAGAAAGAGCAAATAAACTTTTTTTCTTTGTCACACGCATGGTCAAACAATCTTTCCCTCTTTCTCATATGATTTCATTGAAAATGCAGAATGCGCAGTTCATATCTATATGGTCTAAGCACCGCGATGCAGCCTTTGGATGACAATAGTGTTGCCATAATAATATATGGAAAGTTTTCTAATTGTTTATTTCTGTTTATAGAAACAATTTCTGTTAAGGATTGGTGGAAATAATCCTCGCGATATTATTCATCGCATTCTTTCCAAAATATTTTCCAACGAATGTGCGATAAATTGTTCATGGAAAGGCATCCGTAATAATTTTAAAGTCTCCAACTTATATTTTATTAAAATTGTGAAAAGTATGTTCTACATGTTAATTAAACATATCTATTAACCGAAATCTTTGTTATATTATTTTACTAATTCTATAATATATTATTTTTTCCAGGAGAAATTATTTTTAAACATTTAAATTTCACGGAAGTTGAATTTGATAATATAGCAGCAGAATGGCTACGTTTTGCCAAACAACGAAAACAGAGACAAGATAAAGGAAAAGATGTCGAACGTGAACAAATTGATGAAAGTAATTAAGAAAAGTCTTATAGTACAAAATCTTTATAAGCATAAATAAGTTAAAGTATATTTATTTTAGTTTTGTATTAATTACGTGCAAGTTATTGATCATATGATTATCATTTTGTTTTTGTGTATAAAAAGAATCATTGATCATATGATTATCATTTTGTTTTTGTGTATAAAAAGAATCTATAAAAATAGAGTACAAATTTTTAGTTCTTATAGATAGATTCTTATAGAGATATAGATTCTTATAGAGAGTTCTTATAGATTTTATTTTCATTTTTATGTTTTTGTCTAACAAAGTCTAAGTATAAATAAATAAGTAATGTAAATTAGTCAATATGTATTATATATGCATATTATACACATTCAAAAAATAATGAATAAAAGAAACTTTATATAAAAACAAGTATAGTTTATACCTTTTATTAATATATCATTTAATGATGGTTACATATCTATAAGATATTTTTAATAATCAATAAAGTAAAAATCTTAATTTTTTCAGTTATGTTCATTTATTTACAATTTAATGCAATATTATATATATATATATATATATATATATATATATATATATAGAATAAAACTGTTGTATACTTTTGTTACAAACACGAATATTATATAAATATCAAATTCTTTAATTAATTCCATGCAAAATTAATTAAAATGTTCTTTAGTTTTGCTCGAAATTAATTAAATAATTTAATATTTATAGTATTTGTGTTTGTAACAAGTATGCAATAATTAAAATTTTTATTCTCAATATATATATATATATATATATATATATTATATAACTATTCAGTAACGAGAGTATATAAAAGTTTTATAACACAATTCAATAATTTACATTATAGTTATATAATATTTTAACTGATTTTTATACATGTTATGTAAGTGTTATATAACATGTAATTTACGTGTTAGATTAATGTTACATAGCTGTAATATATATGAATAGGAAATTACTACTAACGTGTATATAACCTTGTACATTCGTGTTATATTGCGTGTTACATTTCGTTTTATTATGACAATATAACAGTTATATACTCGTGTTTGCTGGGATTTTACGGTTTATGTAAAATTAAGAAATGATTTGAAGCATCATAACTCGATAAATGCTTGAGGGAAAAATTTTTTATTATAGTGTTTTGGAAAGCTCTCGAGGTCAGCTATAAGAATATACAATCAAAAATAGGGGTTCCTATTTAAAAAAAACACTTTGACCTTCAAATAACCTTGAAGGTCAAGCTCAAGGTCAAATTGAAGGTCACCGTTGAATTCCTCATTGAAAATTACTTCAGAAATGACCTTGACCTTTTTCAAAAATACCTTACATGAGAAAATATTCAGCCGTACCGGGACTTAATTGACACCCTGTATATATATATATATATATAAAAAGTCTGATCGCGAAATAAGTCATGTCATATAAAAAATTTTAAAAGATTTTTTTTATGGGATCGATGTACTAACTAATGATGACATTCATAATAAAATAATCGTCATTTCATGACTGAAAAATGACGTCAAAATAATGTTATAGCAAGACGTCAATATAAAGTCATGTAACAATAATCAGTCATTTTGACAATATATAACCAAAAATGACTAGTTGGGAACGTCAAAATGACGTGTGTTTGCTACCTGGACAGTAATCCCTCACATAAAAAAAATTGGTACACGAAATAAAACTCATCCTATAAGCAGTCTCCTGCACTATCACACTATCTATGTAGTAACATTAATAACAGATTTCTAAAGTTATTTAGAGACGATTTTTCTTCATTGAAAATGTCGAAGGTTTGTAACTAAACCTAAAATTAAAATTTTATTAAAGTGAACTTCACCTGGAATTATAATAATTGAAGAATGTAGCTTTGTTAATATTTTAACTTTACGAAGTTTGCAAAAAGTATATTAAGTAGAGAAGATCGTCATATTAATGAAATGACGGGGCTGGTGGCAGATTCTTTGCTTATTTATTTGGATATTTAACATATTCTCAAAAATTACTTTTTTAAAAAGTATAAAAAAGTTAATCATGTGTAAGTATTAAATTGTTAAAAATTTTATGTTATTGTAAAAAACTGTTTTATGGACAAGAGATAGTATTATTTAAACTACAAAAATGTTACATTAAACAAAGTTAATGTGCAAAATAGTTATTTCTTAATTATCTACAAAAATTAGTGATATCCTAAAAAAATTACCTTTTCAAAAAAAGGTAAATAAAAGAAGTCGAGTCATCTCAGTAGTAAAACATTATTGTATAGAACAATTTTACAAAAATTTATTTTAATAAAAAATTGCTGTATTAAAAAAATTGTGTAAAATAGTTGTCATAACTATCTACAAAAATTAATGATATATTTAAATAGAAAATTACGTCGAGAATAAAAGAATGCGATTTTATTTTATGTTTATCAACAGTGTGTGTGTCTGTCTGTCTGTCTGTCTGTCTGTTGTGTGTGTGTGTGTGTGTGTGTGTGTGTGTGTGTGTGTGTGTTAGATGTGATTGACTGCTGATAAATAATTAGATGAAGAAAAATTATGTTTATATTTTCGTCGAAAGTTATTACATCTTTGTCGTAAAAGTCAGAATCCCGATTTCTTCAACGATGAACAGTTGATTCATGTAGCTCGTAATTTAAAAAATTTTAATTATTAAAAAACTCGACGCTGCTGAATAATATACAAATAAATTTGGCAGCGTGGAGTTTTTTAATAGTTAAAATTTTTTAAATTACGAGCTACATAAATCAACTGTTCATCGTTGAAGAAATTCGGGATTCTGACTTTTACGACAAAGATGTAATAATTTTCGACGAAAATATAAACATAATTTTTCTTCATCTAATTATTTATCAGCAGTCAATCACATCTAACACACACACACACACACAACAGACAGACAGACAGACACACACACACACACTGTTGATAAACATAAAATAAAATCGCACTCTTTTATTCTCGACGTAATTTTCTATTTAAATATATCATTAATTTTTGTAGATAGTTATGACAACTATTTTACACAATTTTTTTTAATACAGCAATTTTTTATTAAAATAATTTTTTGTAAAATAGTTCTATACAATAATGTTTTACTACTGAGATGACTCGACTTCTTTTTTTTACCTTTTTTTGAAAAGGTAATTTTTTTAGGATATGCATTACTCGCAACTTAGCCATTCGCGTAAAGATACACGGTGTGTCTTGCGCCTGAGTGATAACTCGACTTCAAGACTTCAAGACACCTGCAACTACCGTGTCTCTTGATAATAAAGATATAAATTCTAAATTAAGACAAAGGAGATCATAAGGACGTTATAACGGATACAAAAAATTGAACGCATGAATTAACGGTCGGTGGAAACGCTTGTTGGAAAACGCAATTTCTGAGAAATGTCAAACAAAAAAATTAATAAAAAAAAATGATAAGAGACATGAAATGCTGTAACAGAGCACAGCTCACCTCAATATCACAAATACACTATAAAAGAAAAGGCGTCTGAGATTTTAAGCTCCCTCGATGAATCTATCCAAATAATAAAAATTAACAAATTAAAGATGTCCATAGGAAAGTCTTGATGGATTGCGTCGCTCTGTTTTGCGTTTCAACTGTTAATTATTTTTTCGTACGAACATCCTATGTCACAGTCCGAAAGCCTTCCTTTTCCAATTTGTATTATTACTATACGGACTGTTAACCCTTTTTATTTTTTAATAAAGAGGGTTAACAGTCCGTATAGTAATAATATATTTTTATTAATTGTCAGAAAATATGTTTTTATTAATTGTTAGAAATCTGGGACCAATTTGAAACATTTTAAAGAGCTGTTCCAATACAAGCACCATAAAAAAGAAATAAATGTATGTATATACAAATATGAAAAAATAAGATTTCTAAAATTCCGTAAACATCTACTACGTTTTTGAAAACTCCATTGTCACATAGTCAAAGATCTTTCGCCATCGAGTGATTGATTGATCGCGAATATGTATAGAAAAAGAAAGTTTTACAATAAACTAGTAGTTCACAGTAATTTGTTTATGAGAAAAAAATTTAGCTTGCGGAAAATTATACTTTGTTATACATATACATATAGAGTGATAATATTATATAATATATTATCATTTTATATGTATAACAAAGTTAACGTATTGTCAGACCAAATATCTACTCGTAAATACACTCTGCAGTGTGTACTATGCGTCATTAAATTTCAGGCAAGTTCCAACGAGCGTCACTTCTTGCTCTCTCCGAAATTCTCTCTGAAATAATAATAATAATATGTTACCACATTGATAAATAATTGTTGATAAATTTTATTCTAACAGAGATATTCTGCTGGCGACTGGTAAACTAGCAACGGATGTTCTTTCATCGTTAAGGCTTATTACAGAAGACTATGTATTAGAATTTGAGTTCTCCGGGAGAGACGCAAACGGCTGTAGAGTAATGAGCTTATTAGACAAATCTAGAGGTTTGGCGACTACAGTGTTTCCGTGTGTTACAAAAAATTGTACATTTACATAAAATCCAAAAATTACACTTTTAACCTTGTAATTTCTCATCAAATATAAACGAATATTTACACAATAAAAAGTAAAAAAACTAATTTTTAAAAGTACATGAATTTATATATTTCCGTTATAAATAGCGTAATTGTTACACTGATTATATGTGTAATTTTACATACTTTTTTACAGTGTAGATAAATGTTTGGGAGCCTGCTTAAAGCCGATATATACCTATAATGTAGACATTTGATGTCAGTCTGCAAATTCAAACCATTACTTTGTCGTTTAATAAAAAGCATTTCCGAAACCAGACGTTTACTGAAACTTCGGTTCACTGTCCAGGATTCTGACATTCTCCCATTTTTCGTGACCGAAAACCTTACGATCAGTAATAACTGAGCGACTCGAAGAGTTTCTATTGATATGTTTACGGTGCTCTTCGATTCTAGTTTGGAACCGTTTACCCGTTTGGCCTACATAGGACGCATTGCAATCATTACAGTCTATCTTATAAACGATATTCATTGACAACGCTTTAGATA